CACGCACACGCGCCCGGCGTGAGTTTTAAGCCACCGGGTCCCGGACGTGAACCGCGGTCGACTACGTGGGAGGCCAGCGACATAGCCATTACGCTAACTGCTGGTTCCCTTGGCCTGTATTTCTAAAAAGCAAGAGCTTTTAGTAATCATAACCACACCACCATTGTCACATCTAAAAATATTAGCGGCAATTTCTTTGTATCATTCAATATCTAATCAATGTTCAAATTTCCCTAATTATTATATATATTCTACATAGATATTGTAATTATATCTATATGAATCACATTTAGAATTGAATAGTTTAAGTTAGAAATTACTTAAATTTAGAGTCAAGCAAAATACAAACATGTTTTTCTAAGTGTCTCTTCAGTTAATTCGTTTCTTTCTTCTGAGAGAGAGTGTGCACGAAAGCACGCGTGCACACCTCCACCGGGTCCCATCGCTGTGCTCCACCCCCAGGGTCAGCCAGCCAGATCATGCTCACACCCGTGCCTGGTGTACTCAGGGTAGTCTCTGGCCTTGAACCGGGAACCTTCCCATGTGGGATTGCCTTACAGAATGTTAAGTTATAGCACTGTCACCATCTGGTCTCTCTTATGGGTCTTTTAACCTATAGGTCCCCAGGTTATCGCTTCTTACAATTTATTTGCTGAGGAAACTGGTTGGTTTGTCCTGCAGAACTCCCCACGGTCTGTACACTTCACTGTACTGCTGTGGCATCACTTGACCTCGTTTTCACGCCTGACCGTTAGCTGTGGGGACGTGCTTCTACTCACACCATCCTACTCACGCAGACTTGTTTCTTTGGAGAGGACATTTGGAAGCTCTAAAACACTGCTCTGCATGTCTATCTTTAAGCGCTTAATGAGCCTGATGGTTACAGCTGACCTGTGTTTAAAGTGAGGTCTCTTTTACGATGGAAAATAAAATTGATATGAAAAATTAAAGGCTCTTTTTATATTTAGACTTAAAAAATTAAGACTTTGCTACTAACAAAAATGCTATCAATTTTAAACAAAACTCTCAAGTCTACAGTTTGTTGTTTACTTTTATTAAAAATAATCTTATTCATAAGTGTGTAAATTTAATGTGAAAGTATAATGATGACTTGAAATGACTGAAATGAAAAAACTGAAAACATATAAAGCTTAAAAATAAAAGAAAAGCCATCCTGCTGGGACAAGTGGCTAGCCATAGGAGGAACAAACTGACACCAAAATAAGTCCCAGATGGAGTCCAGATTTATGTATAAAAATAAAATATAATAATTCTAAAGGAGAATTTTTTTTTTTTTTTTACATTTTTGCCATAGGGCACATGTGCTCACAGGAGAGAGACAAAAGAATTTTTTTTTTTTTTTGTGAGAGAGAGAGCATAGGAGAAAGGGGGGTAAGGAGAGGGAGAATGAGGGAAAGGGTAGTATTTTTGATGGGGTCTTGCCACTGGTGACCCCCCTAACCTAGTCTCAGAGTTAGTCAGCTTGATGGGTGTATGCCACCATGCCACACAACCAGTTTAAGTTGGGCCAGGAACTAAACCCAGGCCTCCCATGAAGCACGAGCCACTGTGCAGTGGCATCCTTCCACATGTACCACTGTGCCTGGGCTCGAGAACATTCCTAAAATCTTAGGTTGGGGGTAGAGATGGAATGACACAGTGTCATCAAAGCCAGATATCATAAAGGAAAAGACTGGGACTATCAGTTAGTGTAATGGCTATGTCGCTCAACTCCCATGTAGTTGACTGCGGTTCGAGTCCTGGACCCGGTGGCTTAAAAACTCATGCCGGGTGTGTCTGTGTACGTGCCCAAAATCCCGAGAGGAGAAGGAAGGAGAAGGGATTGCGGTGTGGCCATCCCCCGCCGGGGGGTGACTTCTTGCTTTCAGTCTCTCTGTCCTTCTGGTGAGCGCACACGCCCTATAGCAAAAACCTCTCCAAAAAAAATAAAAGAAAAGACTAACATATCTTACTAGACAGAAAGAAAGAAAATTCTCTGCTTAAAGTCCTATAAAGGACAAAATCAGGGGACCAGCAGGTAGCACTAGACTCCCATTGGGTCAACCAGGGTTTGAATCCTGGACCTGTTGGTTTGCTTTCTCACTCTCCCCTACCCCTACTCTCACTCTATCTCTCTCTGGTCAAATTAAAATAAATAAATAAAGTTAAATAAATTAATTCAAAAAAAATCCAAGTAAACAAACAAAACCAAAATCAAAACCCCATACCACTATAAACAAAGTTTTCAAACAAACGGCAAACCAAAGAAAACATCTGCAATTTTTTTTTTAAAGAGGTTTTTGCTATATGGTGCATGCGCTCGCCAGAGAAAGAGAGAGAGACAGAGAGATAGAAAGCGAGAAATCACCCCCTAGGGGGGATGGCCATGCCACAATCCCTTCTCCTCCATTCTCCTCTCAGGATCTTGGGCATGCACGCACGCACACGCACCCAGCATGAGTTAAAGCCACTGGGTCCAGGACGCGAACCATGGTCGACTACCTGGGAGTCCAGTGACATAGCCATTACACTAACTGCTGGTCCCAACATCTGCAATATTAATAGTAGACAAAGGATAAAATCCTTAATACAAAGACTTCAATAGTTTACAGAAAAGCGGAATTAAAGTACTGTTTTGGTACAACAAATTTTAAAATTCACGAGTAGATTTTTTTTCCATAATACACATTTGCCATGAACTTTCTGACCCCCCCCCCACCATAGAGCTTGAACATTCTTTCAGTAACAAAAATCTTCCCATAGAAAAAATGTGCAAAACTCGGGTTAGCTGCAGTGTGGTAGTTCAGGTAACTGGATCCCACATGGCCAACTGTGCAGTCTGCCAGGATCTGATGGCTTGAAAAACATGCCAGGAGCATGTGCATGTGTGCCCAAAATCCCAAGAGGAAAAAGAGAGGACAAGATGATGTGACTATCCTCCACGGAGTGTGCTTCCTCATTTTCGCTTTCTCTCACTCAGGCAAATGCGCACACCTTCTAGCAAAGATGCTCAAACTGAATATTCACAAAGAAATACATGCAAATTACAACAGAAGTGGGATATAATTTTTTAATTGCCAGGAAGCATGTGTGCTTGCCAGAGGTAGACAAAGAGACAGAGAAAGGGAGTACAAACCAATGGGTGTGTTTGTACTGTAATCCCTTCTCCTCCATATCTCCATCCTATCGGGATTTGGGACACATGGCCACAAGAGCCTGGTGTGTCTTTCAAGCGCTGGGACCAGGACTCAAGCCACAGCCATATGGGATCTGGCTCCCTTCACTACTAGGTCATGGTGGCTATCCCAGCGGGATATACTTTAAGATTAAAATTGACAACATCCAGTGTACTTGCATGCAGTTGTAGAGAACATAACCTGGTAAGTCTTCTAAAAGGAAATCTAGACATGCATGTTAAGATAAAGGTGTGTATACTTCTAAGAATCTGTCCTAAGGAAATAATGAGAGAATTCAAATGCATACATAAAAATGTCATTGATTATAATTGGTGGGAAAAATGGAAAAATGCAAATCACTCATTAGTAAATAAATAATTAAATACATTTTGGAGACTCAAACTACATATATATTTCCATTTGTTGAAAAAACAAATACAGGGCTGGTTCTGGCACAGTGGATAAGCAATGTGCATAGGAGTCAGATCCTACATGGCTGACCGTAGTTTGAATCCTGGCCCCAACAGCTTGAAAAACATGCTGGGCACATGTGTATGCATGCTCCAAATCCTGATGGGATGAAGGAATGGAAGAAAAGGGATTGCAGTGGGACCATCTCCCATGGGGGACGGTGCTTTGCCACCCTTCTCCCCACATCTAGAGAGCACATGCACTTTTTTGGAGATTAAAAAAAAAAAAGAAGTATATACAGACACACACACACACACACACACACACACACACAGAAACATGAAGAAAGCTACAAAGCATACACACATACCGCCTCCTCTTATAGTATTGTCTTTGTAGAAACGTTACGAGTGATTTTCACTTTGTTAATGATATCTTTCAGCATTGTCTGAATACGTCCCCCAAGATCAAGCATTATAAAAATTCTATGCAAAAAAGTAAAGCTATTTTGAGAATAATTCTTTAATTACACTTATAGACTGAAATATCACAGAACAGTTTTTAAAAATGTTTTTCTATTAATATACCACTTTGCTATTTTCATATAATGTCCAATATAATACATTTTTTGAAAATACATTACTGCTTTTTATAAAATCAACATATAAAACTCTTTTTTTTTTTTAGAGGTTTTTGCCTTAGGGTGTATGTGCTCACTGGAGAGAGAGAAAGACAGTAAGAAATCACCTCCTGGGGAGGATGGCTATGCTGCAATCTCTTCTACATTCTCCTCCTGGTATCTTGGGCATGCATGCACACGTGCCTAGTGTGAGTTTCAAGCTACCAGGTCTGGGACTCAAACCTCAGTCAGCCGTGTGGGAGTTCAGCAATGTAACTGCTATGCCATCTGCTGGCCCCTATGACTCTGCTTTATGTAAATCATAGCTATCTTAAGTTTCCAACACAAACCAAAATAAAAATGCCTAGATCTCCTCTACTGTAACTTTTTAACAAACATTTGCCAGAAGGTGTCTGCACTCTCGAGAGAGAGAAAGGGAGAGAGGAGAAAGCACTCCCCGAGGCATGGTCACACCACCATCTCTGCATTTCCATTTCTCCCTCCTCTCATAATTTTGGGTACACACAGGCATCTGGCATATTTCTCAGGTCACCAAGTCCGGAACCCGACTGGGTGGTCAGACATGTAGGACCCACTATCTTGCTATCTTGCACTCTACTGTAAATTTTAAGAAAGAGAAATATTCTTTGGTCAGATCTCTAGTTGGTTACACAGAAAAGATACCAACATGTCAATTTTTCTTCACAATTTTAAGAAAAACCAAGAAGACAGAGGTAAGTACAGAGGTCCCTAAAGAACTGTGAAGGCTAAAGGCTCTGTTAAAACGAACTCACCAAAATGACGCCCAGACTCCATAGGTCACAGGACTCGTCATAGCCGTTGTGATTCAGGAGCTCTGGGGCTGCATAGTGAAGGGTGAAGCATGGTGTCTTGAGAGGCTGATTGTCAGGCGGCTTTAGGCGTGCAAACCCAAAATCAATTACTTTAATTTCCAAATTGTCGTTTTCATCGGTGAACAATAAGTTCTGCAAGATAACAACATTGACATCAGTTTCTCCCTAAAACATCACAGGAGCTACTAATCTCACTTAGGTGACATGATCTATGTTTTGATACATTTTTCTTTATTATTATTATTATTTATATATTCAATTGCTATACATCATTTAGATTTTAAAGAGACTTTACCCAGTATGATACAAGCCTCAGGTCAGTCCAGTTGAGAATACTATACCATCCTCAACTACAGATAATAAACCATGTCTATGTCCCACAAGTGTCTTACCTCTCTATTTTTCCCATTTTCCTTTCCTAT